TCGTAACATATAATGAAATAATTATACAACTCATTGTAATGTAGAATCAGCCGGAACCCTGAGCTTGTTTTCCTACAACTAAACAGTTCCATCTGGGGGATGATGGGAGACAGTGAATCATCAAGCATTAGATTCTCATAAGGAGCATGCAGCCTAGATCCCTCATGCACAGTTCATAATAGGGTTTGCGCTCCTATAAGAATCTAATTCCGCTGCTGATCTGACAGGAAGCAGAGCTCAGGCTGTAATATGAGCAATGGGGAGAAGCTGTAAATACAGATGAAGCTTCACACTCCTGCCGCTCAAGTCCTGCTCTGTGGCCTGGATCTGAACTGGCCACAGACAGCCTAGGCTCCGTGGCCCCGGGAATTGGCGACCCCTGCCATATAGTATTGTTGCTGTAGGTACTATGCTGTACAGTAGATCTCTGGGACTTAATTATCTCGCATAAGTAAAACTTTATGCCCTTTGACAAATATATTCTCCTTTCTTCCTTCCCACAGTCCCTAGCAAACCACCATTCTAATTCTGCTTTTATGAATTTGACTATTTTAGATTCCTCATGCAAGTGGGATTATGTAGTATTTGTCCTTTTGTGTATGGCTTATTTCACTGAGCATAATATCTAATATTGCTGTATCAGTAATTTCAAAGATAGGGGCAATCAGAAATCTAAGAAAAGGCAGAAAGAGTACTTAGATATTCTGTGTGGCTCCCTAAATCTTTCCTTTCCATATGGGACATATGCTTTAAGGGCCAGAAAAATAGGCAGGGGTTTTAAGTGAAGTTTATGGGCCACTTTACATATTGAAAAATTATATAACAGCTTCCAGGGAGGCAAGAATGCCCCCTTAATCCATGGAATCTGTAATTTTGTTTGTTTGTTTGTTTGAGACAGAGTCTCTGTCACCCAGGCTGGAGTGCAGAGTGCAGTGGCAAGATCTTAGCTCACTGCAACCTCCGCCTCTCAGGATCAAGCAGTTCTCCTGCCTCGGCCTCCTGAGTCGCTGGGATTACAGGCATGCACCACCATCCCCAGCTAATTTTTTGTATTTTTAGTAGAGCCAGGGTTTCACTG